TCTTAAGGTCAGGGTTTTTAATTTTAGTTTAATGTATGTTTTGTATTTTGTATGCTACTGGATGCTTGAATTTCCCTCGGGATAAATAAAGTATCTATCTATCAAAACGAATGCACAAGGTTGTTGTTGCTAGGTAACAGCTGGTTGGCTATGGTGCACAGTAGAGTAGGTAACATAAGTCTGGATGGAGAGTTTGTTTACTCAAGTGTGGGAAATATTGTGTACACTGGTGGAGGATAAATGCACATTAGCAAAGTTTTATTTCAGAGGCAACAAACCAATTCAGTACAGCCCATTAATGAATTCTAGACTACCCATAGCTACAGCTATATGTAAAGTGTGTGTTGTAGTCTTATTAATAAAAAAAGCATTAATTCCAATTTCGAATCCATTTGGTAAAACTCTAAGAATACAACACAGCTTCCTTTTTTTTTTTTTCTTTGGAGTGAGCGAATCTTACTGGAGCGGGGTTAAAATCTGTGTTGATATTGGAACAATATTGAGCAGAGCAGTTTTGAACAGGGGAGAGGAAGGAACAAACTGCCTCATCAGCAAGAAGTGGAAATTCTCCCCGCAGGAATGATTTCCTATTACATTTTTGGGATTTTTTTGCTGTTTTCTTTACCCTGGCTGTTTTTGTTTTTTGTCTGATTTCTTTGTTTCTTTTTACCTCCAGGTTTGTTGACAGCGGAGAGATGTCTGAGTCCTTCCCATACAGGATGAAAGCTCTGTTTGCATTTGAAGACATCGATGGAGCGGATGTGTGTTTTTTCGGCATGCACGTTCAAGAATACGGCGCGGACTGCCCGCCTCCCAATCAGAGACGAGTGTACATTTCTTACCTGGATAGCGTGCACTTCTTCAGACCTCGACACCTCAGGACTGTTGTCTACCACGAGATCCTGCTAGGCTACCTGGAGTACGTCAAGAGGCAGGGGTAAGAAACATTTACACTTTACCTGCAAGAAACCCCAACTGAGCAACTGGAATTGGTTATGAGATGTCTCTAAATGAAAACTTTAGCATTATAGCTACACAGGCGTTGAAACATGAGCCCATTATGCAGTGTAAAGAGTATTCATTAAGCTTTGTGTTCCAGGCGGTGCTACAGACCGTTTTCAGCTACATGAAAATGAGCAGGCAGATGGAATAAAAGGAAATCAATTCACTTCTTTTATAATGAATGCAACTACATCTCTCCCTGTGTCAGGTTTACAGCGGGACATATCTGGGCCTGTCCACCCAGTGAAGGGGATGATTACATCTTCCATTGTCACCCAGCGGACCAGAAGATCCCCAAGCCAAAACGCCTGCAGGAGTGGTACAAGAAGATGCTGGACAAAGCTGTTTCGGAGCGCATTATCCATGATTACAAAGTGAGACATATTTAGTTGTTGGGCAGCAATGTGAATAAATGCATTTATCACTGCAACAATAGTCAAGCCCCAAGACATGAACTCATCCAGTCTCCAACAGCACCAAACTGTTGCACAATATAAACACTTTTGTCGTAATTTTCAAGTTAGTCTTAAAGTATATGTTCCCGTTTGGCTAATACTGCATTTTTTGAGAAAACCATCTCACCACAAGTTCCATTTACTAGCTTTTGTGGAGCTTTTGGTCATACCACATGCTCACATTTCTTTTTTGTTTAGAAAAATATGTAAAATGGAAATTTAATATCTGGAATTCCAGGATAACTGGGTAAACCCCATCTGCTGATGAAGACCATATGATATGATTAGAAGACCTAGAACAGTTACTAAATTGACAAGAGATTGTTTTCTCAACTGTTGTTTTCCAAGGTCAAGAATAAACCGTAAACCTCAAAAGTATGTTTGGTTGTTTCCTAAAACAGAGAAAAAGCATTAACAGCATTTCTCACACTTCATCCCTGTCCCTCAGGACATCTTCAAGCAGGCAACAGAGGACCGGCTGACAAGTGCCAAGGAGCTGCCATACTTTGAGGGCGACTTCTGGCCTAACGTACTGGAGGAGAGTATCAAGGAGCTGGAGCAAGAGGAGGAAGAACGGAAAAGGGAGGAAAACAGTACCTCCAATGAGAGCACAGATGTGAGTAGAAGGCTCCATGTAATCACCACTTTCAGGCTCATTTTAGTCACAAAATGTTGATGTTTTTCATGGCTATGTACTGACACTGACATTAAAACATTTACAGGCCACAAAAGGAGACAGCAAGAATGCCAAAAAGAAGAACAATAAAAAGACAAGCAAAAACAAGAGCAGCTTGAGCCGAGCCAACAAGAAGAAACCAGGGATGCCCAATGTTTCCAATGACCTTTCCCAGAAGCTCTATGCCACCATGGAGAAACATAAGGAGGTATGCAAGTCTGATATGATTATAGCAATAGCTGCTCACTCCGTTATTAGATCATATGGCATAAATATAAGAACGTTAAGGTGACTTATGTCATCAGAGTTATCACGTTGAATCTGTGAATGCACATAAGAGTAGATACAGCTTATACAACAGCAACAACTGAACTGACGTTTACTGATGCAGACATATAATGGGATAAAGCAGCTATAATCTATATTGTTATGTGAAATGTGTCTCTTGTAGTGATGAACCCACAGAGAATTATCAGCAACTCGTTTTTTTTTTTTTTATCTCATTGTTTTAGTTTTAAGTCCGGTTACTTTACTGTTATTTACTATAATCAACTATTACCAACATCAGTAGGCAGCTGTTTCCAGCAGCAGCATGATACACTCTCCTCCCACCAGTTTCACACGATTCTGTCTCACAATAATTGGTGCACAGAGAATCACAGCAATGTACCCACGAAAGAAGTGAAGATTACTCCACAGAGCCCTTTTTTAACCTATGAATTGAGGGCGTTGACATCCAAAAAATGACTCAAATGTTTAACGTCAGTAAATCGTCTCATATCCCACAAAC